ACTAATAACTGTAGGTGCTGAAAGTGGTCACCTCTTCATTATCTTGCTAGAGGTTTTTTTCATTTAATAATGTAAAGTAACAGGAAGGTAGTGTATTTCTTTAATAGTATTATAGTGTTAGTAGGTTTGGGGTATGGGAGCGTGCACGTTCTGTGTTGTATCGGGGAGGTTTTATGTTCTTCACAGTAGAGACAGAAGAAAGAGGAAAAAGCGAATGTTTTCTCCAGTAATGCCCCATTATGTTGGAGGAAGGTGTCTGCAGAGGAGCGAGTAACTGGCTGCCCCCTCTCCCTGCTCGGGCACGTATCGCCGATTGCAGCGCCGGGAGTTTGAGGGTCACCCGTGTCTGCGGTCCCGGCGGGGAGCTGGAATGGGGCCGGAGCAGCGCGGTGCTGGTGGGACCGGCTTCCCCGCGGGGGCACGACGAGACCCACCATGGATGGGGACCTGAGAAAGGAGAACTTCCCACCCCCAGAAGTGCTTCCACACCCGAGCTGAATAAAGGTTGAACCTTGAGCCCGGCTGGAAAGTCTCTGGTGAATGATTAACGCAGAAATGGCGTTGGTTGAGCAGCAGGAGTTCTGCAGAGCTCCTGACTGTGGGCGCATCTCCTTTGCTTTCTGGCTTTCCCCTTTACCCCCATATGTTTCCTTGACTGGAAATGGTACAAACGCATAAAATTAGGTGATATATAAATGGTTTCAGAAAAGTACGTGGGAGAATGGAGCTCGGTACCCTTAAACAAATAACACCTTGCCTACCCAAATAAAATTTAATGAAAATTTTTACAAATTTGGAACCCTTAAAATTTGGATTTTTTTCTCTCTCTTATCTATGCTTCTTGAATTTTTCTTTTATTTAGATAAGAATCAGAGTTTGTTAGGTTTTCGTTGAGTCTAAAAACATTTCTGCAAATAACTGAAAGGTAACACTTTTATTATTTTATTATCTCGGAGTGTAACTTCCCTCCCTTACCTCTTCCTTAGGAAGTGGTTGTTTGTCTTTTACTACATATAACTTTATACGTAAAATATTTATATTAACCCTCCAGCCAGTTTGTTGTAGCTCTTGCAGGAGTCCTTGTGCACTATGATCCCTCCTGCTCGCCGTGTTTCAGGCAAGCAGAGTTGTGTTTGACACAACCAGGGGACTGTCAGTGTCTGGCAGCAATCCACACAGTTAGTAAATACTGTCCTTATCTGATATAGCCAGGCTTGAAAAGATATGCCAGGAGCCCAGATTAGATTGCTGGCTACTGCTTTATTAATCAATGTAATAATTTATTTTTAGTTTTGTAAGTCATATCATCTGTTTTCTGTCTCATATTACATTTTCTGTGGTACTGGTAGAGAAAATGAGCCCTGTTTAAAAATTAAAGGCGATTGAAAAGTTTCAGTGGAATGTGTTTTGCACTACCATAGTTGCTATGACAGTTGATGAATGTTTCCTTAAAAATGCTTTTGTCGAAATTCATAAGGTATGAAGAGTTTATATTTTGTATCTGAATTAGCTGTCTGCAAAACTATGCATAGAAAGATGTTTCCATCTTCTTCTGGTTTTCATCATTTTAATGAAATGAACTTCTCAAGTTATATATTCCTCATTTAAAATCATAGGCTCCCAGCCTGTATTTCCATGTTTAATATAAGATTTTTAGTATGAGAAAAGGCACTACCGAGCCTAAAACTTTAGAGGAAATAAGGCAACTTAGAGTAGCTTTTGAGTGGCCAGTGATTACTGATGTTAATTGGGGAGCTGGTTGGTTGTTTCTGAGATAATGTTGAATTTGGTTTTCATTTTTATTATTTTTATTTTTTTTTACATATGACTCTACAAAGCGGAGAAACAATTTAATTCCTTTTTTGAAATAGATCAGTAAGCTGGGGATGGCAGGGAGGGGAAAAAAACCCACAAAACAACCCCCAAACCAAATGAGAAGAAAGTAATACATATATCGCATGAAAGGAGGCAAAGCTTTGTAGTCAAAATTATTTGTCTGATTAGATGGGAAAGCTGTGAGGGAGCAAAGAACCGAGTCTGGGTTCTCCAGCCTGGGGTCGTCCTCTCCTCCTGGGATTCCTTCCAAAGTGCGAGAGGAGCAGCCGACCTGCCCCGGGGCGAAGGAGCTGGGCAGCTGCCCTGGGGGACGTGGGGTCAGGCAGCGGGTCCTTGTGCTGGTCCTGGTCCTGGTGCTCCCTGGACAACTCTGGCAGCTGCGGGGGTCTGCTCCATGCTCCCGGAGATGACCCAAAGGGCACAAAGACCTTACCTCTCTGAATGGGGAGTAAAGCTGGGAACGGCAGGAGCAGCGGAACGGGATCTGCGGTGAACACGTGCACCGGTGCCGGCGGCGAGGTGGGACAGAGTCTGTCCAGCCGAGGAGCTGGGCATGGCTCGGGGCGAAGCACGGCTCCCTTGTCTCCAGGATGTCGTGTGCCTTTCCTCAAAGTGTGTGCTGGGTCTCAAGCTGTGCATTCAGAAGGCAAAGTTTCTGAAAAGGCTGGTTTGTGTTCACCAGATACCATCGTGCACGGCTTTCATAAGAGGCAGGAGTAGATTTGGATCCTCAGCTTCCTTAACCATGAGGTTTCTTTTCCTGCAAACCCGTAGCCGTTAGCTTCTCTCAGCCGATTCCTCATCAGATGAGATGGGGCCGTGCAAACGGCCGCTTCCATCGTTACAGTGTTCGTTCCAGAGCTCCTCTGCGCTGAGGACGGCAGACTTGCTTGTAGAAATTGGGATGAGCGTGTAATTAAAGATGCGTGTTTGTAAGGACATCAAATAAATGTAACTGGGTTGAGCTACGTTCTGCCATTACTTGGATGTGGAGTGCTGGATTGTGCAACCTTAGTGTTTTATTGTAGCTTGCTGCTCTTTGAAAGAAGACAAATTAATTAGAAAACACATAAAAGCCGTCGTATGGATCATAAACGGGATTGCAATCTATCGGTGGCTGCCTCTTCGGTTGACAGACCAGCTAATGATGTTTGTCAGCCTCTTTGTAGAGTAACAGACTCGAGGAAGTGTTGCAGTGTTTCGCAAATATTTTTCTGAACACAGAGGAGCTATTTGATGGATTTGAGTCCTTTTCCAAGTTCTGAAAAGAAGTGTTCTTTCCTGGGTGGACTTTTGTCCTTCCCTTTTTCCTCAAGGTTGACTCATTCTACTTCATTCCCACCACCAGCCTTTCCTATCGAAGCCTTCGCACCACCCTTGTTCCGGTCGTTGTCTTCTCTCCTTCCCACAGCTATTCCAGCGTGTTTGAGCTGTTGCGATGTTCTTGTCTGGTTTTTACTTTCCTGTTCAGCCCTCTCCGTTCTAGCTTAGGTACAGGTCACCCTCTCCCTTAGCTCGTAGCAGACTGGTTTTTAGCGGGGATCTGCACGTACCTTAGGTCTTTGTGTGCCTGTGCTGTCTTATTTTTTTCCCTAACACAAGTCATTTTCACTGTTCTCTGCCCTCTGGTTCCATATGTGTCAAAGCGTGGACTTCATTGACGCGTTTATTCTGCTTTGACTTTTATCCCTCTGTATTTGAGTGGTAGGATTCCTGCTCCTTGTCTGCTTTCATTATCTAACTCCTCCTTGGTAAGAGCAAACACAGCAGCAGAAGTCCTTGGAATCTCTGGACAGGTCATTTCTCAATTGCTCTCTGGAGATGGAGCATATGGAGGCGACCTGTTCAAAAGTAAAGCCTCCCTGGTGTTGGAGTGGTTTAATTTGGAATTTTAAGGGTTTTGTGAATGTTTGAGAGCTGTGGTTTTTTTAAAATGTGTGACCAAATCTGGCCAGGCTTGCTTGAGGAGAGGAAAAGGAATTTTCCATGCAAAAGGCAGCCCACATGCGAGTGTTAAGCCCACTTCAGGGAACGTGGATGTTCTGGAGAGTTTCCGAGTAAAGGCACCGACGTCTTAAATGAAAGTGTTCTTTTCTAGCTTCATCTGGAAAGTGGCTGGAACCCTGTTGGACAAAATTTTATGTGAAAATCTCTTTAAGTTAAGCAGACAGTGTAGAAATCGCCTTTTTAAAGTTTAAAACTTTGTGAAAATAAACCCCCCAAGACGGGCCGGGTAACCGGGGGTGGCCGTCAGCAGGTAACGTGTCAGGTTTCGGCCGTGCTGTTTACACGTGCTGAGTAAGATCAGCCTCTGAACCTTGGCACAACCCCTGTGGGTTCAGCCCTTAGGATTAGAAGCAGCTCGAAGGTGATTACGATAGATTATTTATTGTTCTAACAATGATTTATTTATTTTTCTTAAAGAATTAACCCTTCATTTGTAGATGGCCTGTATGTTTACGTAGGAAAACCAGATCCTGAAATGAGGAATGTATACTCTTTTCCTAAAATGCTGGGGTGAAATGATGATTTATTGCTGTGAATATATATCAATATCTGCCTTAATTTGCACAGCTTCTTGCATAAGAGTGTCCCAGCAGAAATTTCATGGGATCATCCCAGTGGTGATCCTGGAAACGAAGCTCTTGTAGGGCTGAATGCAGACTGCGGGGAATGTGACCGTAATGAAAACAATATGGAATAAGAGCATGTTTTAAGAGTCGATTTTAAACACTAGGATAATCGTGCAAGAAACTTGGCTTTGGAGATGTGTAAGTGAAGTAATCTTGACCTAGTCAAATAGGCTGTGAAAAATCCATACAGCTTTGCTTGTGTTTTACAGAATTCATTGTTTAACTGTTTCAGAGTCGGGCCAACTTAGAATCATAGAATCATAGAATGGTTTGAGTTGGAAGGGACATTAAAGATCATCTAGTTCCAACCCCCCTGCCATGGGCAGGGACACCCTCCACTACACCAGGTTGCCCAAAGCCTCATCCAAGCTGGCCTTGAGCACTTCCAGGGATGGGGCAGCCACAACTTCTCTGGGCAACCTGTGCCAGTGTGCAGAACTGTAGTATTTGAGGATAAGGGCAATCTGTTTCTTGCACTTATGAATGTTATGTTTGCCAGTATCCCACAGATCTTCATTTAAAGTATTTTATACTTTTTTTTTTAGCCCTGGAATGAGATCAGATGTAAGCTCTTCTCCATCCACAACCTCAGCAACTACGGGACCACCTCCCAAGCTTTGTCTGGTTTGCTCCGATGAGGCCTCTGGGTGTCATTACGGTGTTCTTACTTGTGGCAGCTGCAAAGTGTTCTTCAAAAGAGCTGTGGAAGGTAAGGCATGTTTTGATCCATTTGCTGTTTACCAATATGAAATCCATGTACGTACCAGCCATGGTCAAAACCACTCTATTGAATCTTACTGGAATCCCTGTTTTTGTGAGAATCCTACTGGAAAATCCTATCCATGATTATGACGAATCTTTTCATAGTAAATAACATCGATAATAGTGTGATTATCTGAAGCATAGATTCCATTTACATTTCTAAAATGCTCCCATTCACTCACAGTGTGAAAGGATGTATTGTTGTCTTGGCTTTTTGTTTCTTTCATTCTATTTCACTGTTGTTTTTGTTTATTTGTCCTGTTTATATGCAGATATTTGTCTGTTGTGCATTAGATTTGTGTAGTTTGTGTATGAAACTTGGTAAATCTGTTGCATGTGAGGTTATGATAGTTTTATGTTTTTTCCTGTAAGCAGTATTGGTTACATTACATACATGTCCATGTATGCTATTTGCAGGGGTAACTAGGTAACAGAAACGTGTGCAGGGTTTTGGATCATCAAGATTTCTCTCTAATCACAGGAAGAAACTCATTCTGGAAAACAGATGATGGAAAACTAAACATGAATCTGTAGTGTGTATAGCAGAATAAGTAATCTGTGATTTTTTTGGGGCTGCGTAAGTAGCTGTTTTGTAATGAACTAGGCTGTACCTCAATGTCTGAATCTTGGCTTCAGCATCAGAGAGATGCAGAAAAGTTACAATATGTTCTCAGCCTCTCTGAAAGGACAGTGGTTCCTCGACTCTGAAATCACGTCGTCCTCAGTTACAGCCTCACAGGGTTCCCTGTGTCGTGCCTTCTTCATGCCGCCGTTCCTGGGTATTTGGAAGCAAATCAGACTATTGTTTTTTGCTAACGTTTTTGCAAGTTGCATATCGCTCGAGAAGAGGGGAGGCCGTTCTGACAAAGATGAGCCACCGTTCAGTCTTGCAGAGGAAGCACTTTCTCCCAGTTCCCAGCTCACTGGATGCAATAGGGAGCTCCGGGGAAATGCAGAGCCTCCCGTAGCGATTGGAAAAGTCAGTTCTTGCTAGTCACAAGGGGAAAGGATGTCAGTTCTGCGGGAAGCTGAAGCTGTTTCTGAAGTACAACAAGAGACAACATGAGCTCAAGTGCAAAGCACTGGGCTGCTTGGGCTCTCCGTGATGCCCAGCTGGTCCTGTCTGGAGTTGCACTCTCGTTTAGAGCCAGGCTCTTGATTTGAAGCAAATAATCATCTGTATCTTTGATTAAAATAAGGTCACTGGATATCTCTCAGAAAAAGTATTATATGGCAACTGAATATATGTCATAGTGATAGTTTTGACGATCCTCAAGCTTAAAAGAAATCATGCAAGTATTGATACGTGAAGAAATATACACAGTAATTCCTTTTGATCAGTGATGTGACTTGCTGCATCTTACGTCAACTGTATTAATGGTAAAAATGTGAGCAGGCTTGTAGCTGAAAAAATGCAATAAATTGCTCAAGGCTTGCCTCCATTTTCATTTTTGTTGTTCCGTAGATTATCCTAACTGTAATCCTTTGGATTAGATATTGTGGATGTTTTCAGGAACTCTTCCAAGATCTGTTAGTTCTAGTATTCACTTTAAGGAACAAATAATTTGCTTTTGTCTCTTGCAGGCATTTTTCTTATTAGGAACATATGTAAAAGGAATTTGTTTCTGCAATACCCTTTTTATTAATAGCTGCCAGGCACCTGCTAGTATATACAGATCAGGCTGACTCTGCCTGTTGGTTATCGACCCTTCAGCCTGGAACCCTTTTTTGTGCCTTTTTGCGTGTATACTGTCACAGAAAGTGAAAGTGTCGGTATCTAACAAGTCAATATAAAGTGTATTTCTTTCAGCAAAGAGGAGAGGAAGGATGAAGGTGGGACAGCAACTGCGTATTTGTACACACTTCTTCATGCAGACAAGGTCCTTTCTTCAGGAACCCAGGATGACCAAAAGCCATCTTGTTCTAGCTCTTGTTTTCCTGGAGCTTCAGAGCCCTCGTGGTTGAGTTTCTCCACTCCCAGAACCAGCCCTGTTCAGCCTCCAGCATGTTACCCACACCCTCCTGCCAACCCAGATCTTCACCACTCCTCCCCGCCTCCGCTTCCTCGCCTTGCTTCTGATCCTCACACCTCCCCTCTGCTTCAGATTCCCCCAACACCTCTGCCTCCTGCTCTGCTCCGGATTGTCCTTGTTCTTCAGCATTTTTAATTCCATCTTGGAAATCCTTTGCCTGCAATTTCTATCTTTTTTTACACGCCAGTGTGCTCAAATGAGCAAAGACCCATCCAGGTCTTGTGACGCTTCAGAGCCGCAGGCACCGACTCGTGCTGGGTGGTGCAACGTGGAAGAGTGTCCAACCTCTCTGTGAAATGTCCCTGTCTGCTGTAAATCCCCTGGGAAACATCTCCGTTTGCTCACTACCCGTTTTTACCAATGTATTGTTTGTGAAGTAGCTTTGGTTTTGGAGCAGCAAAGATAACTGAAACGCATTCCTCTGTGCACCTGGCATGTTATTTTAATTTATGTTGTAGCTGAAGTTGCCGTATGAGGGGCAGTTTTGCCCTGAATCCATAAAAACATCAGAGAACTTGGTTTGTCCAGTTCAGACTGCAAGTTAAACAAGGAGGAGATTTCATTACTTTCAAAACGGTGAAAGCTATGTCTGGATATCTGTAGAAATGTTTACGTGTGTACTTTCAAAATGTGTTTATGAACGTTACTGACATCTCTTGTGAAGCTGTTTAGGGAAATTGGAAACATGCTATAGAAGATAGGTTTGAGAAACATAAGAGAAAAATAGATTTAAAACCAGAATTTGCCTGATGTTAACAAATAGGAAATGGAATTTCTACCTGCATTTATTGGCTTTGGTGTCTGAGAAGTCTGTTTGGTGTACAGATACATGAAACCATACAGATACTGATCTTATTTGTGCAAGCAATGAAGTACAGTAAGTGAAGTTGTTATATAGTCCCGAGATCCTTAACGTTACCGCAAGAATGAATGACTTCATCTGCTGGTCTGATCGTAGAGCTCATGGTTGTTGTGTTTGTCTTTGTGCACACAGGGCAGCACAACTATCTGTGCGCTGGGAGAAACGATTGCATTATCGACAAAATTCGGAGGAAAAACTGTCCAGCGTGCCGCTACCGGAAATGTCTTCAAGCTGGCATGAACCTCGAAGGTAACTTAAAATGTTCAAATCCCTTTTTTATTTTCAAGTCCTAGACAACAAAGGTCATGCTGCTTATGAAGCTAAAAAAAAAATTATTTGAGCAGCATTTTAATATGCTAAAAGTAAGTACTGCGTTTTATGGCGTCTATGAGCATTTTAATGAAAAGCAAGATTTTTTTTTTTGCACTAAAATTTCTGCTATGCTTTCCTGTCTGCACTCAATTCCTCTGTCTCTCAGTGTGTGCAGCAGAAGTGAGTCATACACACGAAACAGGGTTATTTTTTATTCCTGTCAGCACATATATCTTGTTGCTTTTTCACTGGATCTGAGACAGCAGAACTGTAGGAGAGCTCCTGCAGGGAAGCTGACGCCTGCCCATCCTTAGGAGGGTGACCTGACACTGAAACCACAGATGAGAGGGAAAGCCCAGACACACAGGTCTAAAGTTGGAGTGGGGCCTATGTCTTTAAACTGAAGAAAAGGAAATTATTTTTGTTCATGCTGTGGATTCTTTTAAAATGTCTGTTAGAATCTCTCTAGAAAAAAATAGGTTAAATAAATAAATTGAAATGTACCAGTACATATTTGTTCTCTGCAAAGTCCTGGGTGGCTTATGAGAAACTGAAGACCGCATGAACTAGAGATTTAGCAGCAGTTGTAAAATGGCATAAAACATTTTTATTAGTGTCAGCTACGTTTTATGTTTGATATTTTTTCCTTGAGCTGTAGAGATTAATACAGTACTTACTAGCATAGTTATCATGGTGATACTTGTATAATCAAAATTGTCAGATAAAAATGTCGAAAATGTATTTGTCAGATGCAAATATGAACAGAGTTTGATTTGAGTCAGTGGTAGTATCCTTTGGTAAAATGTAAGTGGTGAATTATGTTAAAGAGGCAGATGATACACATATTGGAGTCTATGTTAGCGCGTCTTTTCTTCGTCTTCAGCTTCCAACCTCTCTCAGGAGGACGAATCACCAGTTTTTCTGCCCTGCTCGTGGCTCTACATGCCTCTTCCTTCAGAGCAAAGGGAAAAAACCTGGCGGTGTGAAATGCTTCCCCTTCTGTGACACACGTACAAGGGCATCCCATACTTCATGGTAGGGATTTGCAGGGAAGAGAGGAGATTGCTGGTCACTTTGTTGGCTTGATCTCTGTCCAGGAAGTGAGGTTCATCTCTTAGCAGCCCAAATGTGCAACAGTGGGTTCTAAAATAAATCCTTCAAGTACATGAGGTTGTCAACGAGTGTCTCGGGGGAGCTCGACTGAGCCCACTGCCCATGGGCCGACCCTTGTGCTTCAGAGACAGCAGTAACAGGGTGACCCACTTGCCTGCCCTTGGTGTCCGAGGTGGAAAGATCAATGCCCTGCTGGGGCCGATGTGGCCAGCAGCAAGCAGAGGTAGCAGAAAAGCCTAAAGAAAGTTCAGAATAATGTAAAAAACCCACAATTTTCATTTTGAGGTGGAAAAGGATGCATCTTGTTTTAAGACTTATTTCTATTTTTTCTCTCCATAGTTGTTTTCAAAGTACCTAATCATGGTCATATATTTATCAATATGAATAAAACACCTTATTATGTATATTGCACTAATAGTAAGCTTTTCCATTCCTGCATCAATCTATGTGAACTCTTTTTGAAGTAGACACCAATATAGCTGTCTTGGGCTCTAGGATGTGTTACTTCAGTTGCCTTTCTGCACCAGAGAAAACTCAAATTGAGCGACGTCTGATACTTGTCACTTTTCTGCATGTGGCCTGGAGCCCTCCCAACTATAGTTTGCTTGCCTGAATATTGGCACAGAGAATCCTAGGGAATAGCGACTTTTTGGAGGATGGATATTGTTATATAAGTTGTTGGAAAAAGGGAGGGGGAAGCTTCTATGACTGAGGAGGAAAAGAGAGATAGAAACTCCGCAATGCAAAAACGGAAGGACCCAAGGTAGTGTGAAACGGTTAAAAACAACCCTGAAAACGACGATTTATCAGACAGATCTGAACAGATGGTGAAGTGGTCGTATGGAAGAACTCCTAGAAAAGAAAGTTGGAAGGCAGCATAAAGTGCGGAAGAGACTAAAAAAAGACCCTTTAATCTTGGCTATTTTAGGGTCACAGTTCAGGAATTACTCCTGTTTAAAAGATAAATTTGCATACTTTTTAGACAGTAATTTCTTTCTGAAAAGTCATCAGGTGTATCCTTGGTGCATAAATAATTGTTATAAGCAAACCAGTTAATGAATAGCAAGGGATCAAAATATCCTAGCATGCCAGTCTTTCACTTGGCATTGCTTGTTGGTGAACTTCTTCCATGAATCTGTCCAGTCACACTTCAGATACCTCCAGGTTTATAATATCCGCAGTGAATTTCACTGTTAGGTATTGGGTAGAAGACTAACACGTTTTTACATATATAAATAAAATCTACCGTGTGATATTTTAATTTTTGCCTGCTCTTGTGCTGAGACAAGAGTGGCTCCTTGGACAGTAGAGACATGTTACTTGGTAATTTCCTATTGCAGTCTGGTTTATCAGAAGACCTTCCTTTGGCCCTACTTAACACCCTTTTCTGGAAGTTTCCTGTTTCTGTTGCAATGGGATTTTTGAGTGTAGGGGACTGGAAAAACGTACAGCTATCAAGCTGCAGGTACTAGAGATTTCCACAGTAGAATAATGATATTTCTTTGAATTCTCATTTCCGCTTTCATCGTTAATTGACCCTAGGCATTCCTTGGCACCCTTTCTCTCTGATGTGTTGGAAGAAAAGATTTATTGTTAGGTTTTATGCCTTTAAAAAAGTAGTCTCAATTTTTTTGGCCTGTCATACTGCATTTTATAGTTAAAACTGTTGGCAATTTATGGGGTTTTTGTGGTGTCTTCATTTTGAATTTCAGTTTTTTGAAGGATCTCTTCCTGATAGCATTCATTGCCCTGCTCTGTAACTCCACTGGGTTTTGTCATTATAAAATCCCATTTCGGACGTGAGGTGCCTGGTCTCTGTGTCTCTCTGGCAGTGCTGGGTTGTCAGCGTGGTGGTGGGAGCGTTCCGTTGCCTCCCGGGCCGGTGAAGCCTGCCCCACGGGCAGGAGGTGTCGGCAAGGATGGAGGAAGCCTGTACAGCCTCGCTGGATGCCAGGCGGCAGGGGGCTGGGGGGTGGTTTGTTTTTAGCAGAAAATCTTGGATGCTTTTATTTCCATGCTGAGTTTATCTGTATGGATTATCTTCTGTAATTTGCCCGAAGGAGCTGGTTTTAAATTTGTGGTATTTTTATAGTTGAAAATAAACTGTAAAGAAATACATTCTCTCAACCTTCTTCTTTGTGAATTACAGCTATATATCTAAGTCAGCTCTAGAGCATAGCCTAATAAAAATTCTTGCATAATACTTTGTCTTACCAGATGTATTTCTTTTGATTGTAATTTTACCAGACTTTCTGAGCTGGAAATACTCCATACCAGGTGTCTACAGTAAGCTGAAGGCACGTGTGTGTAAATTTAAGTCAAAGCAGTTCATTTGCTTTTGAGAAGAAGGATAATGGGGCGAAAAATGCCAGAATGTTGAAAGCATTTGGGAGCAGCCATTTCAAAATTTGGATGAGAATAACAAGGAGCTCTTTGCTCCAAGGAAATAGCTGCTGCTGCTCCCCCATGACAGTCTTGGCAAACGTGGCCTTTGGGAAACTGCAGCTTATAAAGGTCCACAGAGAATTCGTTATCTTTAGCAGCCAGTTCCTGAAGTCTCTGTCTTGGCCAGTGGGAGAAACGGGGTCAGGAGGGGCATTTTGTGTGATGTTAAGCTGCAGAGTTGGTTCGTTTCTGATTATTAGAGATTCCGAATAGGTCAGTAGAAACTTTGAATGTGAAACCACGTTACATGGTGCTTTTATGTGCTACTGATTTATCTCAGAAGTTCCAGAGCAGAAATCAATTAATTAATTGAGACACGGGAGAAGAGCTGGGTTTCATTTTGGTCTCGGTTAAGCAGTGTGTTCAGTGTAGCAGGCTGCATCCAGGGGAGCTGGAAGCCAAGTGGGAGACTCCATTATTGACAATATGCTAATAAAATTGTTGCTCCAGCTTTTTGTAGTTTACAGTTAACATCTCTATGTGATGTTTTATTTATTTGGCGGGTGAGTTTTATGGTTTAATTACACAGCAATGATTTATACGCGAGAGAGTTGGCAAGAGAAAAATCTCCTCCTGCCCAGCATTTTCAAAAAAATGTTTTCCCTGGCTCGAGAGATCAAGTAACTTCTTACCCATTAAATATCATTTTTTCCTTTCTTCTGTATGGTTTCTATACTTAATATCTCAAGGATCTTATGAAGTGCACTGTCCTGCAGGTATTTCCAAACAGGTGTCATGCTGTCACGTGAAGTCTCACGGAAATTTTGCATGTAACTGTTCAGGAGAGGCTATTCAGGAGGGCCAGTTGTGATAGGACAAGGGGTAATGGTTTTAAAATAGAGGGAGGTAGATTCAGATTGGATATTAGGAAAAAATTTTTTACCATGAGAGTTGTAGAACACTGGAACAGGTTGCCCAGAGAGGTGGTGGATGCTCCATCCCTGGAGACGTTCAAGGCCAGGTTGGACGAGGCCCTGAGCAACCTGATCTAGTTGGAGATATCCCTGTTCCTTGCAGGGGGTTGGACTAGATGACCTTTGAAGGTCCCTTCCAGCCCTAACCATTCTATGATTCTATGTAACAGAAATTGTAGGGTCAGGCCTTGTGTTTGTACTACGTGCAGAGGCTATTTAACATTTTGAAACATTAACACAAACGTGACTTTCGTTAAAACATAAAATAAACTTATTTTCACAAGAAGTTTAATTAGAATTGAAGTGAAATTATTTACAGATTTATGAAAAAATACTTTAAAACTTTCAACTGCCGGGATCTACAACTGCAGGAAAACAAAAGCAGCGTTTCCTCTGTTACGTTTTTATGGCCGCGTGGTCACTTTCCATTGCCTAACCTGTGACTTACCAAAACTTTCCTAGCTCGAAAAACAAAGAAGAAGATAAAAGGAATTCAGCAGACTAACGTCGCGGGAACGCGGGATGTGTCTGAAACGCCTGGAAACAAGAGCATCGTCCCTGCCTCGCTGCCTCAGCTGACCCCGACCCTGGTTTCCCTGCTGGAGGTGATCGAGCCCGAGGTGCTGTACTCGGGCTACGACAGCACGCTGCCCGACTCCAGCTGGAGGATCCTGTCCACCCTCAACATGCTGGGCGGGCGGCAAGTAGTCGCTGCAGTGAAGTGGGCAAAGGCAATACCAGGTAATGTGCAAATGCGTTAAGTACAAAGTGTGGTCTTTGCTTTGTACTGAAGGTCTGTCTTCGTATTTGGTGTCCTTCAAAGCCTTCGCAGATCAAGTTTTAGTAATATCTGAGCTAATTTGTGTCTCAAATATGTCTGGAGTGGAAAAGCAGAAGAAACGCAGATGCAAAAAACTGTTTACTAGTGTTGCAAGTTAGGTCATTTTAGAATTGTAGAATAGTTTAGGTTGGAAGAGACCTTGAAGATCATCAAGTCCAGTCCAGCGCTCCCAAGTCCACCACTAAACCACGTCCCTGAGCAACACACTACGCATCTTTTAAATACCTCCAGGGGTGGTGACTCCACCGCTTCCCTGGGCAGCCTGTTCCAATGCTTGACAGCCCTTTCAGTGAAGAAATATTTCCAGATACCCAATCGAAACCTCCCCTGGTGCAGCTTGAGGCCGTTTCCTCTTGTCCTACCACTTGTTACTTGGGAGAAGGCACCAACCCCACAATGCTACAGTCTCCTTGCAGGTAGTTGTAGAGAGCAAGGTCTCCCCTCAGCCTCCTTTTCTCCAGGCTGAACACCCCCAGTTCCCTCAGCTGCTCCCCATAACACTTGTGCTCCAGACCCTTCACCAGCTTCGTAGCCCTTCTTTAGATGCACTTGTACTTCTTTGGGCGTGCTTTTATTTTTGCACATTTTTACTTGAACCCTTTGACCATTGAGTGCTAAAATTTGTATTAAAATGGAGATTTGTTTTTAAAAGTAGTGTAGTGAACTATTTCTGTCAGCTCTAGCTCGACCTCCTAGATAATTATTTCTTGAATATTTTTAGCAATGAGGTTCTCCTGGCTCTTACAGCCTGGTGCAGCTGTACTGGCTTGTCTGGGTCTGCGTTCATGGAGGGTTCTATTTTTTACTACCCTTCACCATATCTGTAGCTTTTTCTTGACTGGGAGTAGGCGTTTGAGCGTCCGGTTCCAGGGTGGAAGTCAAGATGTTCATTTCCTCTCAAGCGCTGTAGCTACACGATTAAACTGACTGTCACCTGGGGAACGTGGAAGGTTTGTTGCTGTTTTGGCTCCCACTTGAAGACACCGTTAGCAATTGCTTTCCAGAAGTGATGTCAAACCTCAGCCTTAGACATAACACGTAGTATGTCTTTGGGAGAGGCCAGGGCTGAAGGTGAAGCTGAAGATCTGTTTATTCCTGATGGAACAGACTGGTGGCTTTCTCCCTTTCACTTTTAGTCAGTGCTGTTAGATAGCTGTTTCCAAAAAACCTCGCAAAAACACCTCCGTAATGCGTATGTTGCCCAAGAATAACATCACGTAACAGGTCTGCCAAAAAAAAAAATAATAATCTGATAATAAAATTTATGAGTCATAATGGTGTCTCTTTTGAGGCAGGGGAAATAAATTAACAGTAGGAAACAAAGACTGGCAAACTCAAACACGTGTGCCCCGCAGAGATGTGAGCAGGGAGGTTCGGATGGCGGTCGGGGCGTTGCGTGGGGCAGCGAAGGGCTGAACGTTCTTCTGGGGCGCATCTTTCGGAGACCATCTGGTGTTCTCAAGTACAAATTTAGATGCTGTTTTGACAAAAAAGTTCTTCATTCATAATCTCTTCTGAACAGTTTCCCTAATTACACAAAGCCATCAGGTTAGAACGTATGCTCTTAATGAAAGCGCCAGTCTTCTCTTTAATAACTATATTAATAGGAACTATTCCTATCATTTTTTTGATATTCCTTTTTTTTTTTTGGTCGCTAAGGCGATTCTTCATGAGTATTTAATTTGTATGTACTGTACTGCCATCAGACATCCTAACAGCAAGCCAGCACTGGTTACTAAAGCCCTTAGTTGGGATTTCAAAATAGCCTTTTCCTGAGGAGGGTTGAGCAAAGATTTCAAGATTTGACCCAGTGAGTTCGAAATAGCTCTGCAACGCTTTGCTTGTATGTTAGAAGTTATTGGTGTCTCCACAGCCAGCAGCTTTTTTTTTTGAAGTCATTAGACATACCAAGGTTTGTTACATATTCATCTACTGGATGCTCTCTGTTTAAACATCTTCAGGAAGCAGCACTGTCAGGAGCCCTTTAGATGTCAGATGCTTAATAAATAAATAAATTCAACTTGAATTCAGGCTTCAATAATGATTCAATACAGCACAGTATTTTCTTGCTAAACGTAGGCAGGATCTGATAGGAACTAGTGTTGCAAATTAAAAACTGCCTACTTTTTCAGACTGTTTAAGGGACTAATTTTCAGATTTTTAGACATTTGCTCATTGTTTAATTGGCTCTGTTCATGCTACACAAACTTACAAGATTAGAAACGGTTAATGATGATAGCTAATGCAATACATATTTTGTAAGTTCAGTGTACTATTCTTGTTGAATAAGAACAAAATTTGACAGTAAGCCATTTATTGTCTAGCAGACTGCTCTCACAAAAAGAAAAAAATACTTTTATTTTTGCAAGATAGCCCAATGAATTATAGTGCATATTAAACATAATTGTTTTCTTTTGTAATCTAACTGACCAGATAAAGCACACACATATATTCTGATTTTTTTTAATATTACATCTCTTTTTAATACTTGCAGTACCTATCAAGAATTATCCATCTGGTACTCTTGACAGTAGCTAACATGATGGTTGTGCGAGCCCAGGGCTTTCGGTGTGCGTGTGCTTTTGCAGATGGGATGCTGAGCATTTATTTTGAAATGTATATGTGTAAATTTGGATATAATGTATAATACGAAACTCCTCTTGCTCTCTTCCTCCCTATGTAGTGACAGGACAAGGGGCAATGGATTTAAACTGAAAGAGGGGAGATTTCGATTAGATCTAAGAAAGAAATTTTTTACAGTGAGTGTGGTGAGGCACTGGCACAGGTTGTCCAGAGAAGCTGTGGCTGGCCCCTCCCCGGCAGGGTTCCAGGGCCGGGTTGAAGGGGG